TATATATTATGTATATCTGAAAATGTTCATATCCGACACTCATAAGCAAGATGCGCCTTTCTGAGTTATTAATGTGTGGTTTGTCTCCCGTTCAACAAAGTCTTTATGTCGGTCAGTGCCGTAGCAGCCACTAAAAAAAAAGCGTACGGTGTTTTTGGTATTGTATGACTTCAGAAAAACTTTCCTAACACTTCTGTTTACTTCAGTTTTCCATCTCTGCCCTCCTGGTGAACACACAGTACAGAAGTGTGTTAAGCAACCACATGCTGTCATTCTCATTATGCTGTCCATTCAGGAAAGTACAACTTACTTTCGCTTTCTCAACCCTTAGATTAACCACTTCAGCAGTTTCCCAGGTGGAATTGATTAAGTAAGTGTACTTTGTGCGTCTATCATTTAGTCTTGGTTTTAATCGTTTTCATTCCCTGTCATTCCCTGTAAATAAAAAAGGCAGGGCAATAATCGGTACCGGGGAACGGTGCATTGAGCAACTGGGACTGGGGCAGTTGGTTACGAATTTGATCGCCAAGGAAACAGCAGTCTCAAATAGAAGGTTAGAGAGGACAAAACAGTTTTTTACAATCATGATTTTCTTCTTCTTTTTTTTTTTTTTTGACGAGGGGAGGGGAGGGGTGTATTGGAGATTATGGGACGCGTGAGTATTACTTCCAGTAATATTGTCTTGCCTGACACAGGGATCACGGAATTAATTTTGTTCCCCGGATTCATGCAGAACCAGCTAAAAAGCTATTAGGTAACATTAGGACTCATTAGCAAAAACTGCTGTTGTTCCGAATAACGTCCATACAATGGAATTTTAAAAAAATTGAACTGAATTTAGAAGACCAATGTTTGACATAATACGAGAAATTATCTTCGCCTAATAGCCCTCAAAACACCATTCAAAGTTCATTTACTTCAAATTATAAGTTGTCATGCGTAGTTGAAAACACCTACAGTTTGTTGGAAGATGCTAAACTGACAATATTTTGCTATATATATATATATATATGATATATATATATATATATATATATATATATATATATATATATATATATATATATATATATATATATATATATAAATACAACTTTTATTAGTTAAACATTATTGTTCATGCCACAGACAAATCAAATATGCTCCTAGGAAATACATACGTTAAACATTATTTGAAAGTATGAGGGTGATAAAAAAAAACAACCAAATAAACTGTACAACATTTTTAAAAATATCTCGCACAAAATTTGTACTAGGATGTTGAGATTTGGAACATATAATAATAATTCATTCAAAAAGAATTTGTTTGATATGAAATTCGCAAAGAAGAAACTTATTTTCGAAGACGGAAATGGCTTTTTATAAAAACCACCTATAAATGCAAAATGCACCAATTTAAAATATCTTGTAAGGGAAGCCTTGAAATGATTGGTTTGTTTTTTCTTTTCTTTTTAAAATCTAATCTTTTCATCCCTGTAAACTTTAAACAATATTTCTTTTCTCCTACAGAGTTTTCAAAATATCTTTTAAATTCTGGAGTTTTGTGAACCAATGGCCTGTATGTCCTCCTTTGGACTCGACACATTATAATATAACTTGTCGTCCGTAATGTTCAGTGGTGGCCAAACAAAAGGACCCACTCAACCATGAGTACTCAAAGCACACACACTGTACACCTTATAGTATGGAGCTGTTTCTAGAGACAATTGAGGGGGGGGGGATAAGATTGTCCAAATAGACATAATTTGTGGAGTTGATTTAATCTGAAAGGTGAATGGGCTTTGCCAAGGAACCAAACGTCATCTATAGAGGAATGTTCACGCTTTTCAAGACTATCGAGGAATCATGAACACTTTGCTATCCTCTGATAGCTTCGCGAAAAGGAAAATGGTACAGTCGTAGATTAAGATCTGCCTTGAGAATGCGGACCATTGAGAATGTAGGAAAGTCATTGCTGCAGACATCGTCTACGGACAGACATCTCATGGGGCTCATCTACTGAATTATGCACTCTGGTGACTTTTAAATTGAAGGGGTACGAACTGTGTGTGGTTGACCTGAAGTGGTCGTTTAGTCTGAGAATTTTTAGTTCTGATTCTCTTGATGTCCAAAGTGATGGACCATTTCCACCTTGACATAAAAAAGACCTTAAGGGCACTTTAACATTATTTCCGTACCCTGTGCGCAACTTACGAAATGAGTTGGTGGTGAGGAAATGTTCAATACCAAAGGCTCTCTGCTCTTTACTTATCGTAACCATGATCTCAGCAGGCAAAGGAAACTTGAGAAAAATTATCTGCATACTCCTGTTCGCCTGTTAGACTACTGTAGTTTGCAATATGGTGCAATCGTTGGGATTTTTTGTGGTAGGCCTAATGTGAACTAGTGCGTCATGCTACAAAAATGGGGACATAGCTAAAAATGGGTTGTTTTTTACGCACTTCGTAGATAAAAACTATTTTGTGGATTTATCTAAAAAGAATATAAAACAAATTCCTTTTGACTTCCAAATGTTGTGTACAAATTTAAAACACAAAACTTTAGTGTGGAGGAAAATATTTATAAAAAGTTGTACAGGTTTTTTTTTGGATCACCCTGTATTTAAAGCAGGGTGTTATGTAGGGAACCAAGAGAGTGGTTTGAATCTGGTTGGTGCTTGTCTGTATCTTGTATGGCGCAATTTCAATCAATCCAATACCAACACAATCAAAAGTAAAATACAAATTTTGATATCCTCTTGTCCTGACATAGAATATGCCTATTCCGAGTCCAGTTAGCCGATTATTGAAATTTTAATCGGTGAATTCAAATCCATTCGAATGTCAGTCGATGTTAATTTGATATTTTCTATCTGATGGGTTGTCACTTTTGAGGTTCTTGATCGAGACAACTGAAACCTAGCTGGAAGACTGTAAGGAGCTACAAAGAGGAAACCATCAATGGTCTACTTATTTCTTGAGTTTTTTTGTTTCATTTAGTACTTTATTTATAATGCACATCTTTATTTACTCGATTTGTATTGCTTTGTGAAAGTATTTGAAGGCAAGTTTCGAACAAAGATACTATGTTTTTCTCATTTAAAGCTTGGCTGACAATACCTTCTCTGGCCCGAGCCGCTGCCCTGACTTCCTCAAGCACCGCCCTCCTCTTCTCCTCCAGTCGTTCCGCCCATACGTCAGCATCACGGTCATGGGGGCGTGGTCTATTCCGACCACACCCATAGACCCTCAAACCAGGAGCGGGTTGGCTGGTAGCCCTAGACCGGAAGGTCCTCTCTCGTAGGACCCATGTGTTTTGGCGTGAGTAATTCCGGTGTTGTCCATAGACCTTCCGAAACATGACGTCAGTCTGTGAAAGAGATCTCATATAATAATATATTATAACATTTCCACGTAATGGTAATGTTTTTATTGTTTGTAAAACAACATTTTTGTTTCGTCCTCAGCTACACACTAATCGTCTTTTAAGATG